ATTTAAGCATTCTTTGAATCTGGTCACGCTTCGAAAAGATCGTGGCCTAGAATCATGTTTCTGTTGATCACCAAATAAAGAAAGCACCCTTTATAGATTATTTATTTTAAATAGTGAAGGACTTTTATAGGCCTACTAGATAAATTGGCTTGACTAAATGAAGTAATAATCCATTAAAGGTAAAGACCAGTATTGGAAATGCCCCAATTTCAAAAAATGAAATGGAAGCTTTCATTACCAATCATGTGAAAGAATATGTTTTGACTAATACATGATGATACAAAATTTGCCGGGAAACCGCCTACTAATTCATATATTTGGTAAATTTGTTTCTCTCATGGTCTGTGAGAGATATAGGGTAGTCCCATATACGTCTTTCTGTGTAAAGTGCTTGTAACTTTACGAAGAATGGGCCAAATTTCTTATCATTTTGATGAATCCAGAACCTTGCAGATGCTAGATGCTAGATGATCAACCTTTTCTGATCGATTCCACAACGTTTCTTTCACAATGCAATCGCATGACCATAACTGGTCTTTACCTTTAAACGCGCGCTTTGGTGGATACAATTTTGGAAGTAAGGACATTTTTTTCAGAGTAACACGTGTCCCTGAATCCTGGGGACTCACGATAATGCCGATAATGCTTTACCGATGATCAGATTCCAAGTAAAGTTTACTATACAGAACCAATTCCGACATTCAGAAATGATTTTCGGTGACTGATGTGTCAGGATGTGATCATTCACGACGGAAAGGCCAGCACACAAACAAATTACAGTTCCTTTCTCAGCTCTCTTTATGTTCATGTGACCTTTGGAAAAGTTCGTTCCCAATTTTTGCGCATGCGCAGTGTGCAATTACGAACTCGCTTTTTACCCAATACCAACGCCTGTATGCGGGACCATGTGATTATCACTATTTTTTTTTTTATTAATGCTTTTCATTTATCTATCATTTTAAGATTTAGGACGGTCAATAAAGTTCATCCATTCATCTAATTCAAGTTTCAAATTTCAAGTCAGAAAGGGAGAGGAAGACAGAGGGAGAGAGAGAGAGAGAGAGAGAGAGCAAGGAAGGACTTGGATGCACAACAGAGCGGACAAAAAGAGAGGTGTGAGAGAAGGGGGAAGGGAAAATGAGAGGAAAATAATCAATCGGAAGTTTGCAGCCTCCTATCTCTTATGTACATAATCGCGATTAATATCAACTCTTTGTACGACAGGGCCAGAAGTGCTAGAATAATGGAGGAGCAAATTACAAAACGTGTCCGTGACAAAAACAAAAATCTCATTCACGCAGTCTGGGGTAAAAATAATGGTAAAATCGAAAACCGTATCGTGAATCTCTTTTGTGATTCAATGGATGACTTCTTCGGGTGTGTGTGTTTATGAGAGAGAGAGAGAGAGAGAGAGAGAGGGAGGGAGAGAGAGAGAGAGAGAGAGGGAGGGAGAGAGAGAGAGAGAGAGAGAGAGAGGAGACAAACAAACTTTAAAAAGGGAAAGAAAACGTAGACTGGATGAAGAAAGAAAATTGCAAAACGTGTCCGTTCATTTTCGCTCGTCAAGCTCTCACCGAAAGGATGGCGTGACCCTTCAAAAGGGCTCGGCGCCACTTTTCGGTTAGAATTTCATCCCCAAAGACAGAATGTCATTGACCCCGTGATGGCAAAATGCAGCTCCATTATGAAATAGCCAACCCCTCCTGTTTGGGCCCGGCATGCACTCCCTAAATGCTCACCACTCGTATATTTACCCCACGGTTTCACGAAAAACCGTGAATCATTGATGGCCTATAGGGTTAACCATGCTAAAGGCTCTTAAAATTGTTCTGCCGCCATGCAGCGGTAGTAAACCGTGTTCATTTACTCGGTTTGATTAATTTGATATCGTAGACGATTATGTTAGTACTAGCAAGACTCGTATTTCAGGAAAGGGATGTACAATAATAGCTGGACGCACCGCAGGCCATATACAAGCGACCAAAATGAGAACTCCTTGAGAGGTAAATTCTAACCCCCCCCCCTCTCTCTCTCTCTCTCTCTCTCTCTCTCTCTCTTTCTCTCTTTCTTCTCCCTCCTCCCTCCTCCGTTTTTTCATTTTTCTTGGTAATGAGTTCCTGTTTCATTTGTTTGTTAGGAAATACGATTTAATAGGCGAGGTAAAGAATGAAAATAAAATAAATAACCCTTGAGGGGGGGGGGGGGTCATGCATTCTTATTTGACATAAATAATTCTTTAAAGGGACTTGGTAACATTGTTCAGATGAGAGATAGCGGTGCTAAGGTAGTGACTTCAATGCTAGATGCTACAATTAAAGATAATCTGAAAATTTGAGGGAAAACGGACCATTATTCATGGTACAAATTGAGAAAAACTGATCTGATCGATTCCTTAATTCTCCCAACTATATTATTACAATTTAATTACATTTTAGGTGAATGGAAATCGTCGCAAAGCAATGAAATGGTCCTACATTCCATTCCAGACATTTAAGTGTTGACAGATTTTTTATAGCCTGTTTTATGTCTTTTTTTCATGGAAAAACGGTTGGGAAAATTCAAAAATGGGTTAGAGGGTGTCATACCATAGACGTAATTTCTATGGTCATACTGTACATCGACTCCTTCAAAGAAAACCATAGATATCTTCGTGGTTTGAGAATTTTTTTCAGGCTTTTTTGCATGTCAGAGGGTTATACAGTAGAAGGAATATAGTAAGTAACATTTTATACACAAATTAAGCAAACAACCTTCAATCATGTCACCAAGTCACTTTAAGAAAAGAATATCAATCATACTAGTAGGTATTGTTCATTTCTCAAGTCATTTCTCAAGCGACCATTATTTCATCAAGATAATTCCTCACAAGAGTGAAAATATACAATGGTACAGACGTCTTGGTTCCTGCCCCTTTTAATAACGTTCGCTCCTTACAGCAGAGTGTTTGATCCTTAAGTGCTAAGGATCAAACCCTTTGCTGTTAAGTAATTAAAAGATAAAAATAGGGCAAGATCTTGGCGATGCCCAGAACGGGGGCGCCACCGCCGAAGCGATATGCCGTCGGGAGGAAGCGAGGCGACGTCGAAGCGAACATCCGGTCGTCGCCGCTCAAAATCACCGCTGACCATGCAGTGACCACTTGGTGCGAAACTATTATCTTTCACGAAGAATTAATGATTAATTGACGTGACAAAGACAGATAAAAGGTTGTGCTTTTCAATAGATCAGACCGAACATACGTTCTCTTTTGTCTTTCTTTTTCCTCTCCTCTTTCCCTGAATCTCAAAATTTCCCCTACCATCTCTTTCTCTCTCTCCCTCTCTCTCTCTCTCTCTCTCACTCTCTCTCTCTTTACTATATGTGTGTACATGTCATTCAATTTTTCTCCTCTCATCTCTGTCTCCCTATTTTTTTCTCATTGTAAATTCAACACCCAGCATTAATTTTCTCTCGCAAAACGACTTCTCGTACCCTCCTTCTCCTCCTCCTCCTCCTCCTCCTCGTCCTCCTCCCCCTCTCTCTATCTCTCTCTCTCTCTCCGTATATCTGTCTCTTTCTCGCTTTCTGTCTCCCCCTCTCCCTCTTACCCTTTCTTTATCTCTCACCTCTCCTCCGTTCCACTCTTTTCCCAAGTTCCCTGTATATAATTGTCCATCCTCCCTGTGTCTCTCTTCGCTCTCGTCTCCTTTCCTCTCCTATATCCTATAAGGGGAAGGATCGAAGTCAGCGAGAGAAAGGTTGAAAATGAAGAGACAACAGCATTATTTTATTCATTCATTTTTTTTTTTTTTTTTTTTTATTTAAAAAAAAAAAATTATTATTATCTATTATTATTATTATCATTGTTATTATTATTATTATTTATTATTATTATTATATTTTTTTTGGGGGGGGGATGAAACCTCCCCCCTCAGCATCCCCCCTCAGACCCCCCCCCCCCCCCCCCCCCCCCTTGAGCAAAAAAAAAATGTTTACTTTTTTTATATAGATGAAAAGCAGCAAAATAATGTATATTTGAGAAAATATGTGATTTCTATTGATAACATTTTACGTCAATTGTATTTGTTCTCACAACCTTATTATTTTGATGTTTGAATGTAAATAAAAACCTCATCAGAGGCACACAAAGAAAAAGTTAGGATGAACTATATTTGCTAGAACATTTCCGCTGTATTCTAAGAAGTGAAATGTGATGATAACAGGACAGTGTTCAAAAGATGCGTGAATAAAGAATCTTAACCATCAAATTCTTTTTCTTTCTTCATCAATTCAAAATTCGATATCATTATTTCATGGATGTCTTTATAACACTTGTTAAATGAAGAAAATACAAACAAGTGATTCACAACAGGGGAAAAGAAAGGAAACGATAAAACACCCGTTTTTGGTCTTCTTTTGTTTTGTTTTTTGTTTTTATATATTATGTAAAGAAACGTATTATTGTAAAGGGAACCTAAAATACAAGCATATTATGCTTCCGAATGCTTCCAAGGTTTCCTCCTCATTCAGGCTGCAGATTATTGTTAGCATCATTTGTATTTAATGACTTGCCATTGAATCGTTGTTTTATATCTATCGACTATTATGTACATGTTTTGTTACCTTGTATATGCGATACTTTGTAAACTCTTTTCATATGCAGTTAATGTAGAAATAAAACATAAATAAAAAAAATAATAATTAGCTCAAGAGAAGGAAAACATGATGTAGGAAATGTACAGGTTAAAAGAAAATATGGCAAGAGATTAATGGCAGAATAATACTTGAATACATTGATCTGAGATGATCTGAGATGGAGAAAGAGGAAAGAAAATGGAATACCATACAGGCAAATTTGGCATGTATTAAAAGAGGGTGAAGGGGGCGGGGGCGGAGAAAGAAATGAACCGGCGGGCAGGTACATAAAACCCCCAAACCGAATCGGTGTATAACAGTTTGCTTTAAAAATAATGTCTACGTGACGACAAGAAATGCTTGCACGCCATCTACGTTCACAATTGCATTAACTTTCCCGATTGTCAAAATGTCATCAAATGCCAAGCAAACGCCCATTCCAAATGCGATTAAATTCCTCTTCGGAGGAACAGCTGGGTAAGTTATTCATCCTTTATATTATATTATGCCTTTGATGTGCTTTCCGTCTTAAGAATATTGAATAAAGCAGCTAGTTTCCCCCAAACCCCTAAGTAATGCCTTGCGAGGATAGTCATCAGTCCCACATGTAATAAATATTGTCATGTCAGCAAGTTGTTCATTGTGTAAGTAACACTAACAAAGTATTAACATCACACATAGCAGCATACCACCCTGGCTGTGTCTTAAGACGAGTTACACTGTACTGCATTACATTCACGCAATATTTTGTAAAACCTGCTGTATGATACTTTCAAATGATATGATATTGATTTGTAGAGAAATGAATGTGTGACTGTGACTGAGGTATCGTGAATCATGTGAATGGATATTTGAAAGCGTGTTCACTCGTCACCTTGAATACCTTGAATACCAAAGCTTCTGGAAGAAAGCCGTCTCCAGCTGCCAAGCTTCCAGGTCTAACTTCAAGGGGGGGGGGGGATGTCCCAGCTTCCGGGTCTTGCACCATAGTCATTTTACATCTGTATCTTGCTTGCTGGGTCATATCAGGATTGTCATAACTGGAGTGTCAACTGGGAGAAGGGTGAATGATATTGCTCCTTCTTCCAGTGTTTGTCAAGTCTGGCTTTAAAGCTGTTATGTCACACAACATAACTCTTATTTTTATTTTAGCTACGAGGAAGCAAGGTTGCACTGACAATAAAATACATGAAAGAAAGTATTCCCTTTTCGTTATGTTTATTGAGGTATCAACAAAGCTGACAATACACTTGCAAAGTGCAGTCAAGCAAATAGAGAAAACTTATAATGTGAATATTGCACGGAGAGTACATAATGATCAATGATGAGAATGAACATGAATAAATGCAATGTACATAATGAATGAAAAGAGCTTACGACATATATGAAATGACGTCGAAAGTCCAATGAAAAGAAGAGATGTGAAGAACGAAGGAAGGGGTTCATGCGATGAATATGCGGAGGATTGAAGGCGGAGATGCAGCTCCGAATTTGTGGCTGAAGAACCTCGAAGGATCTCGACGCTGACGCTCGTGATAAAAGGAAGGGGCTCATGCGATGAATATGCGGAGGATTGAAGGCGGAGATGCAGCTTCGAATTTGTGGCTGAAGAACCTCGAAGGATCTCGACGCTGACGCTCGTGATAAAAATGGTGAAGATCAAAGCTCTCAGACGAGAAGAGAAGAGAAGAACAGTGGCGCTCGAAGTCAGAACAGTGGGTCGTTCGCTGTCGGAAGCGAAGAGTAGAAAGGTAGACATGCAAAGCCGGTAATTAAGAAGAGCAGTGAGTCGCTCGATGAATGACCAGGACTTTGATGAAGAAATGTTTAGATGAGCTGCGGTAAATTGTCTGAGCTCGAGAGTGGAAAGAGCTACCAGAACGAAGAAACTGGCAGCTCCCAGCGGAGAGTCAGGCACCATGTCGGTGCTGACTATAACGTTCCACTGGGAGACTGCAGCCCGATGAACTCGGCAGAGAAAGAGTAGGATAGGCGAAAGGCACAGAAGAATCTCGAGTGTAGAGAGAGGATCACAGAGATGTGTGGACTCGACCGAGGTGTAAGCGGGAGTAAAGTAAAACCTTGTGGCGTTGAAAATACACGGGTGAACCGGTGCGCGGAAACACAATGCGTGATTGAAGGAAAATACACCATGTTCCAAAAAATGAATATAAATAAGTAGCGTGATGGAAAATAACTGTGAAGTGTGAACATGCATGTACGGTAAAAGTAGGGCGAATGTAAGAGCCGCTACAGATTTAAACAATTTAAATAATCAATGAGATTGACAATGACAACGTTGATGATTATGAATATGATCGAGTAACGAATGTCGACTCAAATGTAAATTACTAATACAATACTAATACAGTTAAGTTACGTTGCTGAAAATTTCCTGGGTTTTGCTAGGGCTTGGTGATAATGTAAAATATGATATTGATATCAAGCCCTAAATGGCGCCCATAGACCTGCGTGGCGCGTGGAGAGGCAGGTAAACAAGCCCTAAAATAAAAAAATGCATCTGAAGTACATGTAGCTGGCTAACATTTGCTATCCTGCTCCTACTCCTAATGAAGCGCTAACAAAAGGTAAAAATAACCTAAAATTAGCAATTATCTTACCAGAGCAATACAGCTTGCTTCCTTTCCACATATAACGGATGACTTGACGATCTGCATTTTATGATGTTGACCTCTGACATGTGTTGATGACGCTTCCGTAAAATGTGCTGCATATGAGGGAAATGCATGCAGTGCGACACTGGGACGTCGTGATGTGGGATGCTAAATAATATCAGGCCAAATAAAAACAAAACATGTTTAGCGTCCTGTTTTCTCAAAAAATAGGAAAGAGGAGGCCCTTTTTTTTTTCTTCTTTCTAAATGGCCGCTCGGTACATTTTCCTTGACAGTTGGGCTATTTTTCAAGATTGCCGCCGACGTTTTTCTGTTTTTTTTCAAATTTCAAAAAAAAAAAATAGCAGGCCCCCCCCCCCCCAAAAAAAGGAAGCGAGCGGGGACGCTAAACATGTATATTTTTGTTTAATGGCCTCAGTAGATGGCGGTATGCCAGTTGAGATCACCATGAACTGATTAGCACGCCTGTGAGTGTTGAGACCTGGGAGGGGGAAGGGGGGGGGGGTGGTTTCACCAAGATCCTAAGACGAACTTAATTCTAAGTTGGACTTAAAAATTATGGAAAGCTATTTGTATTCTTGAAATAAAATATATTAAAAAGTGAAAATTCAAGTATTTTAGACTTTTTATAAATTCCACATCAAGAACATGACATATCCTTGATAATTGAAAATATGAATGATTTAAATCAGCATTTGATGCCTTTTAAAATATTTTGTACAACATTTAATGGCTTTCCGTCATTGTTAAGTCCAACTTAGGATCTTTGTGAAACACCCTCCTGGATCATAACCTGATAGACCTTTAATTTTTAGTGCTTGTGATTTGATTTTTGTCTCTCCTGCGTAGCAAAAAGCGAGACATAGGCGCCGCTTTTCCGGTGACGGCAGCGACGGCGGCGACGGCGGCGGCGGCGTCAACATCAAAAACTTAACCTAAGGTTAAGTTTTTGAATTTTTGATATAATTTTGAAAGTATAAGTTCTTAGTCAATGAAACTTGGACTGTAGGGTAATCAAGTATCCCCAATCATGTGAGTAGAATGTCAGATCACAAAGTCAAGGTCAAAGGTCATTTCAGGTCAACAGACTTGGACTATGTTGTAGCATCATCATCAAAAACTTAAGCTAAGGTTAAGTTTTTGAATTTTTGATATAATTTTGAAAGTATAAGTTCTTAGTCAATGAAACTTGGACTATAGGGTTATCAAGTCTCCCCAATCATGTGAGTTGAATTTCAGGTCACTAAGTTAAGGTCAAAGGTCATTTAAGGTCAACAAACTTAGACTTTGTTGTGGCATCAACATCAGGATTTTCAAAATGCTTCTTCTTCGTTATTTTTCAACCGATTTTGATTCTGATTGTTTCATATGATAGGGCTAGGAGGGGGATTTAAAATTTCTACACAGAATCGTGAAATTCATTATTTATGCTAATTTATGCAAATTTATTCGAAATCACAAAAAAGGCTTCTTCTCCTTCATTTCTCGACCGATTTTGATTTGGTTTGCTTTATATCGTAGAGCTAACTTTGGTACACTAAACTTCTACACAGAATTTGGAAATTGCTCTCCTTTAATTGATTATGGTAATTTATGCAAATTTATTCCAAAAATAACAAAAATTGCTTCTTTTCCCTCATTTCTTGACCGATTTTGATTTGGTTTGCCTTATCTGATGGAGCTAAATTTGGAACACTAAACTTCAACACAGAATTGTGAGATGTTGCTCTATATTGATTATTTATGGTACTTTATGCAAATGAAATGAAATTATGTCCCTTCCAGGGCATCAAATTTTGATTGTTTGACCAGTTCAAAAGTGTACCACATAAAATTTACGATATTTGTTGTTGGGAGATGCGGATGAGCGCTATGTCATTGACATTTTTGTTTATCATATTGAATTACGTTATGCAGGCGAGACCGCCGAGAGCGTTTCCCTTGTTGAAATAAAAATCAAGAATGATTTCTTCTTTGTTCTCTTTGATAGAATGGCAGCTACAGTATTTGTCCAGCCTCTAGACCTGGTTAAGAACAGGATGCAGATGAGTGGTGAGTTCATAATATAGTCAAACCTGCTTTAGTGATCACCTGCCTACAAAGACCACCTGCCTTCAAAGACCACATTTTTTTTGTTTCCCTTGAAAATGGTTTCTCATTGAAACATGTACTAAAGGAACCTGTCTACAAAGACCACTTTTTGTGTTTCCTTGGGTGGTCGCTATAGACAGGTTGACTGGATGTACTGTAGCTCAGATATAACTTTCAAGACTACATGTACAATGTTTTAAAATGAAAATGAAAAAACCAACATACATTAGGGTTTCATGTTCCTTTAAGGACTAGATTGTTCAGTTCTCCTTCTTGAAATTAGCATATATCGCTATAGGGTTTGAAGTAGAAAAGACAAACGTCATCCTCTACTTTTAGCTTTCTTGCTTGTTATTCAGTTTTCCTTCTTGAAATTGGCATATCACTAGGGTTTGAAGTAGAAAAGAAAAAATGTCAGCCTCTACTTTTTGCTTTTTTGCTTATCACCTGCTTCCTTCTTAGCTTTGTGAACAGTTGTTTTAATCTTTCAGTTCTTACCATTATGGTAGAAATGACTGAGAGTTATCGATGAAGTGAATAAGGCTACAGAATTATGACGAATTTCTATCTTCAAGGAAGACAGCTTCTGTACCTTTGTCTCTGTTTATTAATAGGAAAGCAGTAACATGTACCAAATATTCAACCTTTATCCTGATACATGTAGATTATAAACAGCTGTAACGAAATAACATTCACCACTTTGTATTGGCAAAAAAACCAAATTCAATTCGTCTAGCATTAATAAAGATAAAGGTGTGTTCTAGTTAAAAAAAAAAAGAAAATTAATTCTCACAGAATCAAACAAAACTTACACTGAATGTTCAAGATTACAAATAAATATCATTAACCACACAATTTTGGTAGCCCCGACACCATTTATGTAGTCCCATATACACCTTTCTGTGTACAGTGCTTGTTACTTTATTATGATTTTGATGACTCCAGAACTTTGCACTACACACCAATACTTACATGCTACATGATCAACTTTTTCTGATCCGTTCCACACCATTTCTTTCACAATGCAATCGCATGACCAGAACTAACCGTTATCTCTAAATTCACTCATTTTTTGTTGTTTTTTCTTTTTCTTTTTTTTCCTCTTCTTTCTGTCCTTTTCTCTTCCTGTTTGTATTCCTCCTTTGTTTTTTATTTATTTGGGTAACAGGTGAAGGAGGTGGTGCTAAAGCCCATAAAACCAGTGTTCATGCCATCAAAAGTATTATTAAAGAGGAGGGAGCACTTGGTCTGTACAATGGGTGAGGTTGCATAATAATAATAATAATAATAATAGAAATAATAAATGTATGTCTTGTTTACCCAGGGTAGCCTCGTCAGTATTCATACTGTTCTCCGTGAGGGCCCTGCGTTCTTATCATTACTCCGGGTTTAACCGAGCTACCATGAAAAGGTGCTGAAGCATTCAAGGAATTTCTTCCTACCAGGTACCCATTTACCTCACCTGGGTGGAGTATAGCAAATGTAGATTGATATCTGGCCAAAGGACATTAGTGCCGCGGCGGGACTCGAACCGTGAACCATGTGATCCACAGTCTCGTGACGATCCACTAGACCACAACACCTCTGTCGAGTGGGTTTTATTTCCATGACACATGTTCAAGCGACTGTTGCTCCACAGTTAATTTTCCTACACAGGCCTAATCCTTAAGTGCGACAAGGGAACAACCACTGTAAACTTTCCCTAATCCTAACCTGGAACCCAACCAAAGACCTAATTTCACACCTGACCCTTACCCCGCATGTGTATCTTGGACGACTGATAGCCCAGAGCAAATGTTGCAAATGCAAATGACGATTCAGTGCGATTTCTGTAATTTAGGACAAAACAAAAATGCCATTATGTGTCAGTAAGAGAGCAATTTGAAGTCATTCATTCATATGTGGGGAAGGAAACCAAATTTTTTAGTTTAAAAAAAAGTTAGGAACTCTCTGATGTCACATGAAGGTTTCTTAAAGTACATGGACATATTTATAAATATGAATGTACACTTTCCTTTGACATTATGCTGGTATGTACCATAGTGCACTTTACCCTAGTCATTCAAAAGGGACAGGGTACCAGCGAAATTTGATCATGGAATAAAATACCTTTTCAAAAGGAGAGGTTAAGCTGCTTTTCTCAGGGTGTTACAAGAGAAAACGTGCCCTTTTAAATTTGTTATTTAATTACCCGGTAGCTAGGATTATTTGAAGGTACAGTAGCATGTACATGTAGTACCATGTGTTTGATAATGATTCCATTTGAAGCCCCACTGCACTACTTATAGCTACTTGCGCCCTCTATATAGCAAACAATGCCTAAGCGGTGACCGTTGGGCCCCCCCCCCCCCATGGTCCCCTTTTTTGTATGTTAATTGAGAGCTGATCTAATGAGATAACCACCTGTCAGTGACCATGCAGGGAGGTATAATCCCTCCTGGCCAAACTAGTACAGATATGTTTCCATACATACAGTTATCAACTAAAATTATTCCTACCCTTGCCGAGATTTGTAATTTTTATAAGAATGTGAAAAATTGATTTGTCCCTATATTTGTTTCTTGAGAATGTGAGTAATTAAAGCTTACCTCTAAAAGTATTCAACAAAGGCCCTATTTCAACCAGGCCACATTTCATTCTTGAGTTACCAAAAAAATAAAAAGATGAATATTAAAATATCAAGAGATATGAATAATGTAGTTGTCAACTGTATGTACTAAGAAGAAACCCATAAAATAATTCATTCTAATTTAAAGGGTTGTCTCAAACTACATTTCCCCCTTTTGTTTTGTTTACCCAAACAATATTTCTTTTTTTCTCCTCTTAATTTCCTAGACTCTCAGCTGGATTATTACGACAAGCCACATACACCACCACCAGGCTGGGAATATACACAACGTTATTTGATATGGCTATAGGGTGAGTCATAAAAAAACTAAGGGCATGCATTCATGAAAGCCACCTTACCTTTGCAAGTTTTGAACCCCACCTAAGTGCATAGAGAATCAGAGACAGTCCACTGATATATATATATACAATACTGAATTTCACTGTGTTTATCCTGCACAAATTGCCGTAATTCTAAAAGTAAATAAAAATTACCCCCCCCCCCCCAAAAAAAAAAAATTCTTTTGAATGTGAAATTATTTTCCCATTATTATTTCATGACCAAGTTAATGTGATTTATATATTCTGTTTATATAATCGCGGTACTTTTTAGGTATCGATAGATCAGTCAACTAAATTTAGTCAGGTTTAATACCGCTGCTTGCACAAATTTGGCCCAATGTCTATAAAAGAAAGGTTTGGTGGTTTACTCAATTTCACAGGTCACTTTAAAGTGCTGGTGCCCAAGTCTAGCACTAGGGGATCTTTGGTGTTGACAAAGTCAGCATTTGAATAGAGAGGTTTGGGGTTCAAAGGTTTGCTTTACAATTTCATCGTTTTTCCAGTGTTTCCATCCCAAAAGCTTAAAAAAGCTGCTTCAGGGACTTTCTTGTCAAGGTCATTGTAAGTTGGGACTTCATAAGCTTAAAAAATGTACCAATTTGATTCACTTATATATTGCTTATTAAACACAAACAAGGGCAAATGCCTCCCCCCCCCCCCCCCATATGAATTCACGATACACCCCCAAGATTTATGGTACGTCCCATTCTTTTTGACGAGTTTCATAAAGTGCCCCTCATCAGCCCTTTTTTACCAAGTGTCTTAGGGTTTTAGAGGGGATCTCAAAACCACCAAGATTCTGTGATTCTAATGTAAATTGCAATTCTTCTTTTTCTTTTCCCTCCGCAGTGCCGATGGAAAACCTCCACCATTTTTAATGAAGGCTGGCATAGGTGAGCAAACAAAACATTGAAGGCCAAACGTCAACCATTATGATTCACAGAGTATTAAAGGGATTGGGTATCTTTGTTTCAGATTCTAAACAAAATCCTGGATTTAGCTCATGCTGCAATCATAATCATAAACCTTTAGGTCAGTCAGGAATCCCAAGACTTTTACCAGCCAATCGCCTGTCTGATTATCAAGATATTTAATGATTGGAAATCAGAATTTCAAAAAACATTTTCCTAACAGTTTTTATAACACTTCATTTGGGAATAATGAGCATGGTAAAACTGGTCACTCAAATTTTACTTTTTTGAAGCACTTCATGATCATTTTGAAGCACAACATTTTTAGGGCTTCAATATTTAATACACCATATCACAGACACTGATAACACGTAGGGCCATGCATCTCAGATTTGTAAAAAATGGAAACATTGTTAAAGTAGATATTCATTGATTTTAAAAACTAACTTTATTTTCATTATTGCAAAGTTGAAACTTTGATTCAACAAGGCTATCAAAATTCAATGCTTGGAAACATTCGAAGTAATGATGATTATAAATTACAAAACGCTTAAATACAGCACCGGCATAACACCTGAAGAGCTCTCCGAACGCTGCTGAGATGTGTGAGATCACAGTATGAACATGATTTGCACAAGCAGACGATGTCCCATGACATCTCACACATTTTCAGTGCCTATGTTTTCATCTTCTCTTGAGTTCTTTCTCTTACTTCACTACCGTCAGGCTAAATGTATAATATATTGCCTCACTCTAAACCCGCGCATGTTTTTTTATTTTTATGACAAATGCAGCGATACAAAAATAAAGGAATCTGTCGCTCGTAAACAAAATAAGACGCCATTGTATATTCAGCTGGACACACCGCGGTATGTTCGGCGTTTCAAGAGGGAACAAGTGCTGTCCTTAATATCATTCCGGGGGTTTTCAATTTAAAAGTCTGGTTTCTTTGATTGTTAATTAACCCCTATCCTGTGTATTTACAAGCAAAAGATTTTAGTTATCAGAATCGGGTCATATCCCCTTTTGAATGGTTTGACTTGCCATTACATTTATATACACTAAACTCATTATAATTTGACAAATAATAGCTTTGTAATCATGTTCATTCTTTATGGGATGTCGTCTGCTTGGGCAGTATTGGTCCATATAGTGACGTCATTAAAACATCGTTATTTTCCGGCGAATCTCTCGTATACCCCAGCTGCTATGGAGGTGGTTGTATTTGTATTTTTAGAAATCACCTGATATGTAGTTGACCTAAAACTTGTATGATGGCCATCAGTTAGCTTACCAGTTTTTAGTAATACAATAGTTGACATATTTGTGATTTTCTTTGAATTTCACCTTTAAACAATGCCTTTAATAATAGCAGGGTAGAAAGAAGTGAAATGTGAATATAGCACTATCGTAATGTGTATCCTGTGTAAATTTCTGCCTTGCTTGGTTTGCGCATCCTCATGTTGATGCTGTGTGTATTTTTCCCCTGGTGTAGGTATGATATCTGGAGCAATAGGGGCGTTTGTAGGGACACCGGCTGAAATCTCTCTAATCAGAATGACTTCAGATGGAAGGTAGGTATCAAGACTGTACGACATGATATTAATTGTGACACTAATGGTGGTACTGCTACTAATATTAAAGTTACCCAAGCGTGGGTATATAGAGGGCAGCACACAGATGTACGCACAGGAGCGTAATATCCATTGGCTCAGTGGTACATGTAGGTAGTGATCGCCATGTCACCTACTTCACAAACAACTATATACCCACACATGAACATCTTTAAGAAGAATGATGATAAAAACAACAATGATGATAAAAGAAGTATTAGTTTAATTAGAACTAGAAGTTGTAGTAATAGCATTAATACCGTAATGATAACATAGAAGTAATCTTTGAAAGTGTCCTTTACGTGGAAATACATGTAATGGTTTTCCCCATGTGTGTATCTGTTAACTTGAGAGTGTCAAATGTAGATCAATGTCATGCCAAAGGACATTAGTGCCGTGGCAGGACTTGAACCACAGACTTTGCGATCCACAGTCCGGTGACATATCCACTCAACCAATTACTATCCTTGTGTTTGATTGTATTTTCAGACTGCCAGTGGCTGAGAGGAGAGGCTATACAAGTGTTTTCAATGCCTTGGCCAGGATCACAAGAGAAGAAGGCCTCTTGACACTGTGGAGGGTAGGCTCTTCTCATCCTCATATTCTAACAAATGAATTAAAAATATTAATAATAATATTTGGTTCTTATATACCGTGTGAGTCAAAAAAAAGTTTACACCTAGAAAATTGCTACCAGTAATTATTTTAAAGATCATTTATGAACAGTATATTATTATACATCTGATGAAAGAGTGTTTTATCCCAAATCATTTGGTACCATGTTTGTGTGGTATGTGTTCACGCTTGGTTGAACAGGGGGCATTGTTTGCAAGAGTGCAAAAATCGACTTGATTTGGGATAAAACTCTCTTTCATATTAGATGTATAATAATATACTCTTCATAGATGATTTTAAAAATAATTAGCAATTTTCTAGTTGTAAACCTTTTTTTTGACTCACACTGTAGTGCATATCACATTATACAGCGTCTCTATGGGCTTCCAAAGAGCTTTGGAAATTATTACCCTAGCTTTAGCTCCGGCAGCCGTTATCAGAGCACGGTGCATTTCAAGGAATAATCCTACCAGGTACCCATTTCCTCACCTGGGTCGAGTGTGGCAAATGTAGATTAATGTCTTGCCAAAGGATATTAGTACCGCGGACCTTGAGATCCACAGTCCGGTGACATATCCACTCGGCCACGACACCTCTAAAGTTTAAAGCCATGCTGTACTAGAAGTACAACCGCCAACTCCCCTCTAACGCCATCTCAGGTCAGCTGTGGCAGTATGGTCCCGTAACTCGCTGCCTTCCCTAGCTGCGCCGTTGGTTCTCGCTTCAAGTCCTCTGTCTGCAAAGTGGGAACTTGATATTGGGTTACGCACTGTTGGCAAGTTGACCATGAGATGGCGCTGTGTAAAACCAGTACGCTAGGGCAGAAAGTAAAGGGCCATGTTTTTATTTGCATGTGAATAACTGGCAAGTCAGCTACTCGGGATGAAAAAAGGAGCTGGATGCAGTAAAAAAAAAAATCATATGGGTACTCATTTACTTGTGTGTTGTTACGAGACACATGTACAACAAAGAGAAGCGCAGCACAATTAAAAACCTCTGCAGTAATCCAATGCGTTTTGCCATGGTAGAAGTGAACAGAGCATTCAAATGGTTCAACTGTAGTTTAATTTGTACCCAAATCCTGAAAAATGAACTAATTAGCGTTGGCAGAGGAGTATCATAATAGAGAAGGAAAGATGGCTACCAATTAGCAACACAGTTTTGTTGACAAGTATTGATTGTAGAGGCATAAAGATAAAGTTGAGTTCTAGTCATGTGATTGCATTGTAAACGAAAAGGTGTGGAATGGATCAGAAAAAGATGATCATGTAGCATGTAAGTATTGGTGTGTACTACAAGATTCTGGAGCCATCAAAATCATAACAAATTTAGCCCAGTCTTGGTAAAGTAACATGCACTGTTCCACAGAAAGATGTATATGGTACTACACAAATGGTGTCGGGGCTAATAACCTTGATTTCCTTATCTTTCTATGCTCATTACTCAGCCAGTATACAATTACTACCAATATTATTTGGCAAATGACATTTATTTGTAATCTTGAACATTAAGTGTAAGTTTTGTTTATTTCTGTGAGAATTCATTTTCTTTTTTTACCAGGACTCAAGTTTTTCTTTAATTATATTGTTTACTCTCTCTCTCTCTCTCTCTCTCTCATTTTTTCACCCTCCTAGGGATGCGGTCCGACCGTTGCCAGGGCGATGGTGGTAAACGCAGCTCAGCTTGCATCCTACTCACAGGCTAAACAGTTCCTACTAGGAACAGGTAAGTGTGTGCTGCTAATTATGTATTACCCTTTCCTTAAATAGGATAGTCATACAGAGATACATTGTAAGTACTATAAACTGTCTTATCCCTTTCTCGTCTCTGTTGGCATCCCCTCTTTTTTTTCCCTATTTCATAGTTTCTTTCGTAGCTATGAATTTGTTAATTTAATCACTCTTTATTCCTAAGTATCATTTGAGGGTTACACAATTGTACAAGCATTGCTTTTTAGTGGACCCCTCTGTTTCCAAAATGTATCCCTAAATTGTTGTAAATGTTTATAATTGATTTAAAATATTTTGTTGGAAACATAACTAAATTGATTGGAATTGGATTGAATATATAAGGGAATATTTTTATAAACCAATATTTTTGTGTATAACAGCAACACAGGGCACCTCCAAATTGTTGTTTTAGCCACACATGTTCACATGAACAGTGCCAGCTCATTCTTTCATATTGTGAAATTCTTGAAGCTGCAAAAACTTCACAATGATGTTTACGGCCCAAACTTGCCGAGCACTTGCCTGACATAGCATCAACTAATGCATGCAAAAAAGAATGCTACCCATAGAGAATACCATCCCATGGACAATTTAATTGTTGTTGTCTGATTCAAGTTTTCCATTGCAAAGGAAGCTCACGTGGCTGTTTCAAGAACAATTAATCTATAAATGACTGTTGAAATGACCTTTATTTTCTTTGCACGCACTCCTTAACGAGGTCCTGATGCAATGATGATTAATTACCGTTGGTTGTTATTTTTCTTGCTTGTTGTCTTGTCCTTCTGTCTTTCAAACCCCCCCCCCCCTGTAATTAGTAATTATCCTGGTTGTTCATGACCGTTTTGTTCATGCTTCTTAATTTTGTTTTTGTAATAGTAGTAAGGTAGCTTATTGAAATATAGTCGCACAAAAAGACTCGTCCAGAATGCAAATGCCATGATAGTCAGTGATGTATGTTAATTAAAAGTTATTTTTGACATATCTCAATGGAAGTCTAGGTAACATTAAAGGGGGTGTAGCGTGGCAAATACTGGTTAACGCCATCTATGACTCCTTTTGGACAACTGCACGTAAACGATTGGACTTGATTAACGGTCAGCGCACGCTAGAGTTTGCGTATGTTGCACCGTGGACCTACTATGGTTGCACGCACAAGAATACTGCAGTCCCGTCGTCCGTCGTCATATTAAACCAAATTGGCCCTGAGTCAGGCCATGGGAAAGACATTTAGTCTCGTCATGCTACACCCCCTTTAAGCCTAATTGAGATAGTACATGTCTTTACAAGCTTCTTACCATATAACCATGTGGTTCTAGCTCTAGGTGATGAAACTATAAATTTCCTAAATTTTGCATTTTGCGTTTTGGACGCGACTTTTTGTCCCACTACATGTTGCTAAGCATCTAATGGGTTTTCTTCTTCTCATTTTTTTTCTTCAGGTTACTTCCAAGATAATCTCTTTTGTCATTTTGGTGCTAGTATGATCAGCGGTCTAGTGACTACTATTGCATCAATGCCAGTCGATATTGCCAAAACAAGGTTTGTATATATATATATATATATATATATATGTGGAGGGAGAATTTGGGAATTATTTTTTTTTGGAGGGGGGGGGGGGCGTGGGGGGACTTTGGGTTCTATGATGCATGCTCCAGGTGCAGTTGCTCTGAAGTCGATTTCATTGGCTAACAAATTCCTGAACCTAAGCCGCAGACCCAGCACTATACCTAACTCTAATTCTAAACCTGAATCCTAGTCCTAACTGTAATCCTAACCTAAAACCCAATTACATCCCTAACCCTACATCTCTGACAAAATAAAGCCCTGAGCGATTGTTGCCGGAGCATCTATCAAATCTTTCAGCTTTGGCTTGGCGGTTGTAAATAGGGTATTATCATATGTTTTTGGGTTGTCCATCTGTCTGTCCATACGTCCCGTTCTTGGGTTCGCATTATATCAAGAACCAATTTATGGAATCCTGCCAAACTTAGGTCATGTATGTATCTTGCAGAGCCGATGAACTGAGTAGATTTTGGGGTCACAATGTCAAAAGTCACATATTCAAATATATTCAAATATTACCGACAACAATGAAAAATTATTTTACTGAAAATTATGTGGAAAAGGTATTGGATATACCATTGATTCAATAAGAGTATAAACTCATGTACAACACTGTTATCAAATACCTCTTCCTCACAAACTCCAGGGCCCATATTCATAGAACCTTACAATTAATGGCCCTACGTGTTATCAGTGTCCGTAATATGGTGCAATCCCGGCCCCCCCCCCCCCCACTTAGTGTTATTTAGGGTACGCATATGCTCGTTCCCTCTTTTTGAAAGCACCCCCTATCTGAGGACTGCCAACATTTCCGAACCCCCCTTTCGCGGGCTTTTTGCGGGATTTTCCTGCCTTGGAGACCCCCCTAAATCATGAAAAATGCTCAATGTACCCCCCTTAATTCAGAATAATTTCTCAGGAGTCCAAAGAGACGAGAGAAAAAAAGAAAAAAAGACCCCCTTTTTAAAGAAATCTCCGGATGAAAAGTTAATACATCCCTTTTTTTACAATTCTCGGGCCGGACTTTGTCGCACGAAAAGTACCCCTTTACCGGACATTTTGGTAACACGCAAGTGGCCCCCCCACGTAGTGGGGGGGCCGGGGATGCAATATTGATGCTCTAAAAAAATTGTTTTAAAGTTAGTTATCAACTTATTCCATACATGTAGGCTATAGTACATAGTTGGTGCACAGGCTCAGTTGGATTTTGGTGAATATAGGCCTTGGAGGCTATCCTTTATTGATGATGTAGGACAGACTGTTATAACTTCTTCTTTTTTTCATCTCTCTCTTTTGCAGAATCCAGAACATGAGGATAATAGATGGAAAGCCTGAATACAGGGGTGCCATTGTAAGTATTGTACATGTGCATCTATAGACAAGTCCAGGATATTTTGTGCCCTACTGCACTATATGCACCATTATTTCCTCCCTCCACTTTTCTCTACCTCTCCTTCTCTCCCTCTCATTATCTCTCTCAATCTCTCTCTCTCTCTCTCATTTTCTCTCACTCATTCTCTCTCTCACTTTCATCTCCCTCAATTTCAATTTCAATTGTTGGCAGCTATGGTTACAATCTGGTTGTTGTTGTTGGGTTTATAAGGCTGTCCAATCTGAAAAGATTATTTTTGCTTGGCTAAACTGTTTTTCAAGTTATTCATCAGTGATGATTAGATGGCGCTGTTCCTTTTTCCTGGCTCGAATATTGATTCAATGGGTATCAGAGCTTCCGTTCATTCGATGGTGCGGGCAATAATTTAGCTGTCGACCATGAACAGTGAATCAATGTACAGTGTATAGTATACCGTCTGCTAGGACTAACGGTGTAATAACACCTAGAATATGGTTGCTACGGTGTGTATGTAGTATCGGAAAGGTTTTTCTTCAAACTAATACATTTTCTACGGACAGTCCTAAACTTGTGCAAACTACTATAATACCATTTCCAAGGGAAACAGGCATGTATACAATGTGCTTGTTATAGAGAGTTGGTCTTGCTCTACATTTGGTCACTAAAAGCTGTATACAAACTGCATTGGGCGAGACAAAAGAATGAATTGATGGGTGGGTGATTTTCTATGTAGCTTGTTGCTAGATCAGGCTGGACTATCGCTTTGACCCTACTTGGTTCTCTGTTCGTCCACGATGTACTGACATGTCCGCCCGTCCGTCCGCCTGTCTGTACGTCCTGTTTTCGTGATCGCATTATCTCAAGAACCGATCGATGGATTCCTGCCAAAGTTTGGTCATGTATTTATCTTGCAGAGCTAGAGATTCTTAGCCCTGTGGATGGGTTTGTCCGAGTGGTGCACTTGCTGGACAGCAGTAACTTAACCAATTTTAAGCTCTATTTCTTCGAGGATGTACAGGCGTATGCCATACGCAGGGATTCTTTATGACCTGGAAGGGGTTTTTATGCATTATACCCTCTTTATTTGGGATGTACTGTTGTGCAGCATATGCAGTATGGTTTTGACCTAGTCTTGTATTTCTGTAGTTACTTAATCCTACCCTTTTCACTCTTCCTTTAGGATGTACAGACATGCCCCAATTCCAGTAGGGTTTCACCATGTGATTCGATCTCCCTTGTTCTATATGTGTTCTTTTAGGATGTGCTGACTTAACATATTCTTGGTAGGGTTTCACCTTGACCTTATCTTGTAATTCTGTAGTAACTTATTCCTAATCTTCCTTTAGGATGTACAGAAATGCCCCAATTTTAGTAGGGTTTCACCATGTAATACTCTTGGTTGATAATAGTGACTTTAAATATCTCCCTTGCTCTCTATTTCCATACATACCAACTGTTCAGATTAAAGAGGAACATTCCTCTTTTTGGGAGAAGATAATTATCATTTTAATGCAGGTGTTCCTCTTCCTGTACAATTTTGTCTGTAGTATTGAATAGGAGAGTTAGGATTGTTCCTCTTTTTTTTGAAAATAGCATAATTTGTACAGATTTCTGATTTTCAAATGTTGGCATGTATGTATTTCTACTTTTAGAATGTGCTGACTTAAAGGTAAAGACCAGTATTGGAAACGCCCCAATTTCAAAAAATGAAATGGAAGCTCTCATTACCAATCATGTGAAAGAATTATGTTTTGACTAATACATGATGATTAAAAATTTGCCGGGAAATCGCCTACTAATTCATATATTTGGTAAATTTGTTTCTCTCATGGTCTGTGAGAGATATAGGGTAGTCCCATATACATCTTTCTGTGTATAGCCCTTGTAACTTTACAAAGAATGGGCCTAATTTCTTATCATTTTGATGATTCAAGAACCTTGCAGATGCTAGATGCTAGATGATCAACCTTTTCTGATCGATTCCACAACGTTTCTTTCACAATGCAATCGCATGACCATAACTGGTCTTTACCTTTAACATATTCTTGGTAGGGATTCACCATAACCTAATCTTATAGTTCTGTAGTAACTTAATCCTAATCTTCCTTTAGGATGTACAGACATGCCCCAATATTAGTAGGGTTTCACCATGTAATACTCTTGGTTGATAATAGTGACTTTGAATATCTCCCTTGTTCTCTATTTTTTTTTTTTTTAGAATGTGCTGACATAATATTCTCTGTAGGGTTTCACAGTGGCCTAATTCCAGTTGATTAATAATAATATTCAGTTCTTGTATAGCGCATAATACGTAATGAAATAATATCTCTATGCGCTTCTAAAGAGCTTTCAAAAATTATTACCCTAGCTTTAGCTCCAGCAGCTGTTATCAGTGCATTTCAAGGAATAAACCTACCAGGTACCCATTTACCTCACCTGGGTTGAGTGTGGCAAATGTAGATTAATGTCTTGCCAAAGGACATTAGTGCCGCGGCAGGACTCGAATCACGGACCTCGTGGTCCGCACTCCGGTGACATATCCACTCGATCATGACACCTCATATTCAGCAGCAAGGGGTTTCACAATCACAGATGCTGGCTTCATTCCGTACTGCACTCACCTGGGCCCAGGAAGGAAGTAGGAAGGAGAACGATCGCTCCTTGAACTTCTTTCCACACTTCTCTTCTATCTATCTAAGTATCTTCTCCCGGTTCGGAGGTTGATTGCAACATCTCTCCATTTCACTCTATCTTCTGCCATTCTGGTGCACTCTTGCAGTTTTAGTCCACTCCAGTTCTTGACATTCTCTTCCCAGTTGATTCCGGGTCTCCCTCTCGGTCTAGTTCCTTCCACTCTTCCCTCCAATACATCCTTTAAGAGGCTTTGGTGTCTTTTAACATGACCAAAGTATTTGACTTTTCTCTCCTTTACTAATCCTACCAGTGCAATTTGTTTATGCCCTGCCATGTGCAATATCTCTTTGTTGGTTTTCATTCGTTTCCAGGATATTTTCATCATTCTTCTCTAAATCCACACTTTAAAAGATGTTATTCTATTTTCCATGGCCTTGCTTAGCTGTAGAAACTTCTAACCTGTCTTGTTCTCTTTGTCCACAGGATGTACTGTCACGCACCATACGCAGTGAGGGATTCTTCAGTCTCTGGAAGGGCTTCACTCCGTACTACACCCGCCTGGGACCGCACACCGTACTCACCTTCATCTTCCTAGAGCAGTTCAACAGGCTCTACCGAGAAAGAGCCGCGAACAAGTCCTAGATCTAGGCCCTAGATCTAGGTCCTACATCTAACCCTCCTTTGCTCAGGGGTGGACTGGCCAAGGGGAGTTTGGAGAGTTTTCCCACCGGCCGCTCTATATTTTGGATTGAGGGCCGATCCATTTCGAGGGGTCAGTTACCCAAAGACATAACTCCATTTTGGCCATTTTGAGTACTTGGGCCGTAAGGAGTTAAGTCTTTGTGTTTCTTAGCCCACATTTTTCTGAACATTTTTATATCAAATACTCATTTTGGCAAAATATGGAGTTACATCTTTGTGTCACTGAACCCTCGATTTATGGTCTGAGGGTCGGTTGGGAACAAATTACATAAGGAAATATTAAATTCCCCAATCTCCTTTTAGCGCCTGTCCACCCCTGCCCACACTGAATCATTGGACATGATATGTTAAAGTAAAACCCACACAATGTTGCCCTATTGAGTCTAACGTATAGCCCCTTTTCATTATCTAAGCTTTTGCTTTATCTTACATTACCAAGCGTGTAAAACATGCTTGGTTTTTTAATAATGTTAAGTATATATTATATCCTCTTTTAAAGTGGACATTATGATCGGGTTATCAAGCTAAAGGGATGCATTTGCTGACAAAGATTAAGAGGACTATAGTCTCGAACTGACAGTCAGCCGTCATACTAACATGTACTCCTTTGTTTAATGACTTGATAAGAAAAAAGGGATTCTGTTTTATTTGCTACACAAAAATAAAAAATAAAACTGTCTAAAACATGAAAATGTAAGGCCTCTATAGGATGTAGGTAAGAGTACATATCACAGTGTCTGACATAACACAAAATCAAATTCATTTAGTCGGTCCTGATTCTGTAACCGCCATAATTGGCTAATCTGGGGGGCATTTCACAAAACTTGTCATCAGTGACAAATGACAGTTTTTGTTATAAGCTACTGAAATCCTTGCTTTTGATTGGATATCAACTGATTTGTCTTTGATTTTTATCATTTGTCATTGCAAAAAAGGCTTTGTGAAACGGGTCCCTGGTTAACATCATTAGGGATTACATATAGCTTCAATTCTGCATGGTTTTATATTGGACAAGGAGCTTGTTGTGACTAGATTACTTTTACTTGTAATTTCATTCTTTAATTGTGTGATAGTGGTGACGTTAGTCCTTTACTTGGGGTTTCGTGGTATAGTGGATTAGGCGCTGTAATGTTGACCTTCAGGTACTGGGTTCCAATCCCTACTGCATCAGTAATGTTCCTTGGTTAGAACATTAATCCATATTTGGGACTTGATGGGAAGAAATTTCTGGATATGCTTTAGCAAATTTGTCAGGGAAGCTTGGAAATACATGTAGCCAGGAGTGCTAATAGTATTCAGCCCTTGGTATCCTTAGGAGAAGAAAAAAAACACTCCTTAAGACCAGCATCATTACCCATTTTGGTTAAAATAGGAGTTTTGGAAGAACGTAATCTTTAGGATACGATCAAATCTAGGCAAGGACGAAGAGTTTATGTAGGCTTACTGAGTATATTAAAACAATGGCATATCAAGTCACACATAACTAGTCGTGTGCCACTGCATGTGCATGCAGTTTCTGAGCAAGGTATGCTTAATTCCACCATGAGTTGCGTTTATTTCTGTCTTTTGTTTTGATGAAATTTAATTGAACTGTGGAAAACAAATCAAGCTCTTTAGCCTTTCTCTTTGGGAGGCCATGATGTGAAATACATTGTGTCTTTAAGCCTCTTAACAAGCTTGATGTTGTCCCGTCTATTAACTGTTTAGTATTCAGTAATGAAGCCATATTCAAACACGAGATGGTAAAGAGCGTAATGCTGTAGTCACACTATCACGCGACGCAGAGCTTTTGAGAGTCGCGTAAAGCCAGTAGTGCGATACAGGTAGTAGGATGTTCCTTCTCCTGTCATAGCAATTACGCTACCTACTTATACGTCATCCTTAATCGTTCCCGAACAATATGACAAATATTACAAATGTAAGGCCTGTAGTCCAAATTTGAGTAAAAACAAATAGCATGTAGGTATTAAAGAGTCATATCACAGTGTCTGAAATAAAATACACTTGCATTAATTTTGTCCATCCTGATACTGTAACTGTTATATTGGCTAAGCCGGTTAACATCAAGATGGGCTTTAGAGTACTGAGTTCAAGTCCCTACTGCATCAGTACACTAATGTTCCTTGGTTAAGACATTTATCCATAACTGTAACTCTCAACCCAGGTGAGGAATGGGACTTGATGGAAAGAAATTTATTGACATTCTTCAGCACATTTTTAAGGGAAGCTTGGATATACATTTAGCCATCCTGAGGGGTTATTATAATAATGTTCAACACTTTGTATCCTCAGTGAAAACTAATAACTAGTCATGTGCCACTGCATGTGCATGCAGTTTCTGAGCAAGGTATGCTTAAAGGTAAAGACCAGTTATGGTCATGCGATTGCATTGTGAAAGAATCGTTGTGGAATCGATCAGAAAAGGTTGATCATCTAGCATCTAGCATCTGCAAGGTTCTGGAATCATCAAAATGATAAGAAATTTGGCCCATTCTTCGTAAAGTTACAAGCACTATACACCGAAAGATGTATATGGGACTACCCTATATCTCTCACAGACCATGAGAGAAACAAATTTATCAAATATATGAATTAGTAGGCGGTTTCCCGGCAAATTTTTTATCATCATGTATTAGTCAAAACATATTCTTTCACATGATTGGTAATGAGAGCTTCCATTTCATTTTTTGAGAGGGGGGCGTTTCCAATACTGGCCTTTACCTTTAATTCCACCATGAGTTGCGTTTATTTCTGTCTTTTGTTTTGATGGAATTTAATTGAACTGTGGAAAAACAAATCAAGTACTTTAACCTTTCTCTTTGGGAGGCCATGATGTGAAATACATTGTGTCTTTAAGCCTCTTAACGAGCTTGATGTTGTCCCATCTAACTGTTTAGTATTCAGTAATGAAGCCATATACGAAAATAAGATGGTAAACATTGGTAAACTCAGGATGTAGTCACACAGTCAATCGACGCAGAGCCTTGACAATCACGTAAAGCCAATGATGTGATACAGGTAGTGGGATGTTTTTCCATTTCATAGCAATTACGCTACCTACCTATGCATCATCCTAAATCGTTCCCGAACAATTTGAAAAATCGTGGAGGGGGAGAGGGGCCATAATGCCCCCTCCCCCCCCCCCAGGCCTTATTAGGGTTATGAGGAGGCGCCTTGACTCCTGGAGGTGATGGATTCACATACATCACCAGTCTTTTGTGCACATGAATCTCATTCCTCGGGTCGATGGGGGCACCCCCTCCAATAATCTGGGTATTAACTAAATTATGTATCATATATGCAATGTGTATGCTTGTGATATGCCCCCTCCCATTTAGGACGTTTCACTTTGGTGCTTGAATGCTTTTGCAGCTCTTACCAACATAAATACTTCCCTTTATTAACCCCCCTAGGGAATAGGGAATAGGGAATATGACAATTCAGTACCCAAGGGGTTAATGCTGGACATTACTGTTTTAAAGTCATAAGGACCGAAGTGGGGGAACGTGTGATTAATTTTAATTGATTATCCCCTTTTGTCAGTATTAAGTGTTATATTGTACTATGAAGAAATCATGAAGATGACGTGATTGTATGATTAAGTAATCTCAGTAGAAGTTTGTGGACATCAAGTTTTCAATTCAACTAGTTTGCTGAAGATTGAATAAAATATTAGTGCATGCCATCATATGTATATAGATATATGAATATACGAGCAACCTAGTTGGACAGGGTCTTGAAATAACTTGAAATTAACTCTGTGAATGTGTGATTTTGTGATTTTTCTCTATGATTGCAGACACTGCATATCAGGATTATTTTTATCCTGTAACTTCAAATGCAACAGACTGCCCAAACGTGAATAAAGCTATAAAACCCCTTTTAAAAATTTGATTTATGTATTGCTTCTTTGAGTAGTCTTGAAGTAGTAAATCTTTTGAAGTTCATGATTTTGTTCAGTGGATTTGAAGTTATATTTAATTTTGTGAAAGTGGTTATGGTGGGAAGCAAGATTTTGATATGAGTTAATTTGAAATATTTTCTCTAGTTATGATGGTATCTTTGATTTTAGAGTTATTTGTGCATGTAGCGTGAGAAATGTAATTCATGTTCTTTATAGGTTTGCATGGTAAGGTAAATGAGTGAGGAAAATTGAAATGGGTACACCAAAAAATAATACCCAAATCCGTTTAAGGTCTACACCAGGCGCGTATGCAGGAGGGGGGAGGGGGTCGAACCCCCCTCAAATTGTTTGTGTGTGTATATTTTGAAGGAAACCCCCCCCCCTCAATTTTTGTATTAATAATAATTTTTTTTTTTTTTTTGCTAATGGGTGACCAATAGAAAGGTGACCTACCCCTCCCCCCCCCCCAACCCCCAACGGTACGAAATATCGATCGGCCAAATTTCCAGGACACACACCCCAAAAAATGTGCTCTAACCCCCCCCCCCCCTGCTTTTTTCAACGGCTGAGTCGTTGCGAAATTTTCAGCGCGATTTTCAAATTTTAACCCCCCCCCCCCCTTCGAAAAAATCCTGCGCACGCGCTTGGACTACACACGTGGTGAGAGCAGAAGAAATGATGTCTGGCCGTGGTTGTGGAAGAGAATGAAGTTAATTAGAAGGATAACGTCACTAATGACGCAGTCCTATAGTAATCAACATGATCGCAACTAATTTCGAACAATCAACTCAACATTAATTTCATTCCTCTTGTATAGAATTAATGTTCGGATTACATAATACACATAGTCATGTTTTGATTACGTAATAACGACATCGTCATTTTCGCATATTTCACTGGGTGACGCACGAGGCTATTGGCATTGGTTCGGGTAGTTTTTTTTTCTTAAGTACTTGCGATCGTGTTAATCAAACTTCAACCTGGAACTCGACAGAAAGCCTAAATCCTCACCCCAAACCCAGTTTACACAGTTTACGAAGTCCTAACCGTGTACGAGTAAACAAAGGTGGGTGAACAAAAAAAATTCCTCGTTATTCTCAACTTTCTATATTTCATCAGAAACGCTAAACTTTCTTTTGTTCATTCGTTGGCAGATGTTGAATTTTCCGTTTATTCGATTACCGCCCCCGCCCCCCCCCCCCCCACATGCATTTGTTTTATGAGGCGTTACAACAATGTTTAGGGCGG